CCAGTTCTTGGGCATTATCAAGAATATGGGTGTGATAAACACTATATGTTACAGTGACATGCTGAAGCAACATTTTGGAATAAATGCTGAGGACAGTTGTCACGATGTTTTGCATGACATTTCCTGTCCCAGTACTGCTGATGTACCCTTCAGACACTCCAGCAGCTGCAAGAAGCAAGTCCAAGAATGTCTGGCTTACAGCCCTTACGTATCTCTGGCAAATTATTTGTTTAGACCCCCTCAAAAATGCATTAAGAGGTCATATTGTTGATGACAATGAGCTGAAGGGAGTGGTGTAATGCCCTAATACATTTTCCTCTGAAGGCACCTAAAAGCTTGTGCAGTGCTGGACCATGTTATTTGGAAAGCGAGACAACTTGATCAATAACACGTTTAATGAGTTCTGTATAATTGTGTTAATTATAAAAAACTAATTTTGGCTTATGTTTAATAAATTTTACTGTATAATGGCATGTACATTGATCTTACTTCAGCATTTTCTTGATTTTCTAGGGATTCCAACAAATTCTACATGGTGAATATGACCACTTACCTGAAGTTGCATTCTACATGGTTGGACCTATTGAGGAAGTGGTTCAGAAGGCAGAGAAACTTGCAGAATCAACAAATTAAGGTTTTCTGTAAGAGTTCAGCCAATAAATAAATTCCTTGTGTACATTACCCACTGTATAGTATGAAAGAACATTACCAGTCCATAATAGTGTATGACTACAAACGTGTTCAGGTGTGCTTGATTAAATTACATGATGAAGCTGATAGGTGAAGAACTGTAACACACATTTCCTTTTATTGTTATTTGTACATCTGAACTTCACAATACACTTGCAGAAAATCTGAGTTTTTGGGTAGGAATTTAAACATTTACATTGCACGTTAGTGGATGTATAGTGAAATAATTGTCATGCATTTCTCATTGTTTCTATTATAATGTGTGGAAGTCATGCCACAAATAAAATATTAAAGGAAGTTGTGTATACCATTTTGATATATCGTGAAAAGTTTTGGTGTGGATCAATTCCTAAGTTCATTACACTTATTTTTTTCTTCTTCTCCTTCTTCCCAGTAGTTTTTAATCTGTGATCTGTGTACATTGGATTACAGAATTTTGCTGGTAAATGAATCTTTTCAAAATATGGTGACAGGTAAGTGCATTTTATCTATTCAGATCTCAGTTGGATACATGACTGACTGTTGGAACTTTGATGTGCTTCAGCTTCAATGTTGCTGTACCATTCAGATTGTACAGCAGATATCTGGAGGATTGACAAGGGATTTGTTTCTAATTAGGAGTGTTCAGATAACATGTTTTCTGAATGTGTCCATTGCAGCTTCGTCTCACTGGCTTTAGCATTTGTTTCTGCAGACACCTTGCAAAACTAATCACACTACAGCTTCAGAAAATTATTTTGCTAAATATTCACCAAGCTTTCAAATTGTGTTTTATCTTTTTAAATGTGCTTTTCTTTTTGAGAAAAGTTTTGATCTGTATAAAAAGCAAGATAACAAAATCAGTATTATATTATTTATTATACCATCTACAAAACAAGTTTATTAGTTGATTATTATATTTTGAACTTAATTGGCAACATGTTTTGGTAAAGTATCCATCCAATCATATCACAGAACTAATGTGTGCACTAACAGTGACGCTAAAATCATTCCGAATGGAATTACTTTGAAATTTGTAGTGATTCAGATTTAATTTTATTAGCAAACCTGTTTTGATGTACCTTAAAACATTGGTTATAAATAGGTACATTTGTTACAAACAATTGCATTAAAGTGTTAGAGATTAATATTACATACATTAAAACTATTAAAATTTTATTTATGCTCTTAAGAAGCTGGGAGAGTGAATCTTTGGTCATATTATGGACTGACCATATTTGATGACAATGGAAGAGACCTGAATTCATTCAGTAATTTTGAAGATGTGGTGAAACAAACCCACAACACTTCGTGGAAAGAACACTTGACCCATTTTAGAAAGTATGATAAAGATGAGTATGAATGGGATCTTACACAAGTAATGACTTTAAAAATTAATTATTCCTAGCCATACACCTTGAATAATGCTGTACAGCTTGGCCTTATGGTTTTATATATCTCATATTTTGGAAGTTATTGACTGAAGTCCAGTTTGTCAAGGTTTCCCTAATTTTCTTCAAGGAAGACTGGTGTCTCACACATGTCTTCGATCATCACTTGAAATCCTCACTAGTTAACATAGCTCAGGATTTGGTAGTGTTAGAAAAGTACCATGTGGGAAATTTTTGGAAAAAGTGAAATCTGGTACAAAATTGCCATGCTATATCTGCACAGGTGAGCTGTCAGATTGGGAAACTGAAGGGGGTTGTAAGGTCGTATATTCTGTATGTCAAAATCACTAAACTATGCCTGACAAATGTGTGCATTACATCGAATGCTCGTTCTTTTGTGGTTGGCTGTCCCTTTGATAAATGGCAGTATGCAGGTGCAGAATGTTCTGTTTCTCAGGTTAATGGTGACCCACACATTGTGTTCCTACCCACTCTAATAATAGTTTGTGAATACATGTCAGCTGTGTGTATGGTTTATACATAGACAACCTGATAAGTTGAAGGGTTTAAAGTGATAGTAAAGAAACAAGTAGCTTTTTTAACAAGTTGAGGCAAATATTTGGTGATGGATAAAAATGACTTCCAGTCTGGACATAATGATTAAAATAGGAGTTTGAACAGTTTTGCCCCATATATTATTATGTGCATGGATGTGTGAAGTGCATTTGAATTTATCGATAACAATACAAATTTATTTGGAATATGATTTTCATATTGTAAGATTTATTTGAAATATGTTACCAAATGCTGTGAAAGATGATTAGGGAGCTGCAGCAGGAGGTGGTGGTTTGTAGTTAGGATCATCCACTACACAGCTGATTTTCCAATCCCTAGGCACAACTGGATCAGTGAGTTTTCTAAACTGGTCCAGTGGGCAGGCAGTATCACAACCTGGTATTGTGAGAGGATATGGATCGTGGTCTGTTGTGTTGCGCAGGAACAGCTGTAAAGTTGAGTGTTACAATTGAATTCACCCCATAAAAATTAATGTACTACTGTAAATGTTGCATTATGAAAGGGATGTTTTCATTGAAAAGTAATCCAGTATTGAAAATTTGTGCAATTTGCACATTTTCATTGTAACGAAAATGTATTAATTTTCAAGTACATTAATAGGAAAATTTATTAATTTGCAGTTCAGAAAGTGAGTTAATACGTGCTAAGCATTTGATGTAACAGCAAAAAAAAACAATAAAAATCCTCAGTAATTGTGTTGTACTATGCAGCCTTTTTGGACTCTGAAATCTGGCTTTTGTCGTGCTACTTGGATGGGCTCATAATGCAGACAAATGTTGAGGACTGGTACAATAAGGTCACAATTTATTGTATTAGTTACCAGAACAAAATTATTTTATTTAACACTACCACAGTCCACAACTTGCTGTTACCAGATGGTGTGCGAATCTCATGCAGATGGCCATTAGTGCTGAATAGAAATTGTGGTGTAGTTGACAAGTTAGAAAAGTGGCTGTGAAGTAGGGAGCACTGATGCGGGTGGAAAAGTATTTTTCAGTTCTGACGGGAAGCATAACAAGTGAACTGGAACCTGAAGTGTGTAATAAATTATGTAAGTTACCCCTGTGACATACATTAGGGGCAGTTGTGTTCAAGCTCAGCACTAAGACCCCTATCTGTACCTATTGGTTAGGGTATTGGGTGGACCCTAACCTGTTTTCTGTAAGTTTGAGGAAAGAGTTATGTTGAGGCTGCCCGTACCATAGCCACTATACTAATTGAACTAACAGTTTGCTGCTAGTTATGGTCATATTGAGTAAGCGTAGTTATCATCAAATGTCTTACCTTGATGTGGTGACCGGTTTCCTTATTATGGTGAAGTTCTATCAGAACCATAATACCATAGCCAGGAATTTGAGGATCCCAAACATTAAGTGCAGATAGAAGGTTTGAGATAGTGGAATCATGACCAGCATACATGAACATTTTGCGACGTACTGAAGTTTGTGTGCCTTCAACTTTTTCTTTTGTGTCGCTTATGATCTTCTTTAGTAATGGCCCTGAGATGTTAACAGTAATACCTTGTCGGTTAAATACAGCACACAGAAAAATATAAGTTAAAATTATATATACTATATATAATTATTTAAATTGTTTTGATAAGCAACATACGCATTCCCAATGATGTTGCAAATTAGCTTCTTTGCAGAGATGAGTTTGGATTGTGGTTAGCTGATGTCTCACATAATCAGTTAATGTATTATTATTTGAACCAAATAATCTGGAAAGACTTGCCTACATGTATTCTGGTAGTCTGTGTAAGATTCATGCTTAAAGTAATATTCATCAGCAAACATGAATATGTAGGAGCTGGTAGCTGAGTCAGTAAACTGACTGGCTGTTTAAGTGGATGGGCAGAATTAGATTCCCAGTAGGGCAGGAATTTTTCTCTTCCACTTAATCCATTGAATAATTAATATTTTAATAAAACACTTACTAAACGTAATTTATTTGCTAATAGTAAAAGTTATTTAAGGAGTGAGAAAATATCAATAATTCTTCCATAAAAATAAATCAGACATACAAGGAATTTGTAAGATAATACTAGCTAATGTTCATCAAATGAATTAAAGTATGATGCTCAGCCAGCCTTCTATCCATTGGGTATAGGGGACATAGGAGCAGGTGATAAACTGGCCAGAGCATGAAGCTGACCACTCACCTCCATCCAATACAAAGACTAACAATGCATGGAGTTTTACTTCCACTTCCCCATATATCACCATGACATAGTGCTTAAGGACAGGGGTAGCTACCTATGCTTTTTATGTCAGTGTTTTTTTACAGGGTTTGCATGCAAATGATACAGCTCTGTCTTTAAATTTATTATTGGTGCCACATGCATTGCCTGAAAGGAGCATTTTCATTTGTTGAAAGTTACATTTTTGATCGTCTTTTATAATTATATAAATGCTCACCCAAACCTGATCCTGAATCATCCCAACCAAATTCGTGTTACCAAAATATGGTTTCCTTTGCTGTCAATGAAGCAGAAACTTATGATTTTTTGACAGGTGAGATTTCTGGAAGTGCAATTGTTGACTTTGTCAGTTGTGTAGTGCTAGAATATTATTTTGAAAACTCTTAGAAAAAGTCATGGCCTGGCAGTAAAATTGTTATACATTTCTAACCAAGTTTAATTAGAAGATAAAGATGTTATAAAGGAAAGTTTGGAATGCCTGTCATCAGTAGGTGGTTTGTGAATTATATGTAACATGCAGTTTATTTATTAATTGTTTATTACCAGTGTCCAAATGGATTTCTGGTGGTGTCCTATTTTGAATTTGATCATATTCACCAAATGTTTGCATGGTGATAACTTACCTCCTTTCAATTTCTGTAGTTCAGTATTGTAGGCATTGAGTACAAAACTGAAAACTGTGAGTGGAATAAGTCTGTTAGGATAAATTCCATTTGTCCACTCTGGTAGTGTTAGATTGAAATCTTCCTGAAACATTCAATTCAAGACTTGATTTGCCAAATAGATTTTTTTTTTGTAAAATATAATCCATGCAGCTAATTTCCTGTAGATGAAAGAGCTGAGGGGGAGTAAATTTGTTATGTTGATTATGATTATCATAACAACAACAATAATAATAATATTAACATATCACAACAACAACATATTTCAGTTGTCAAAAAATAAAATTATTCACACTGCTTTAAATCAACTTCTAACATACAGATGCAGCCTTTGTGATAAATAAAATAAAATAAATTAAATCCTATTTCAACACGTCACAAAATGGGATGTTTCTTTCCAATAGCCAGGATTTCATTTCGTCCGTCTTTCATTAAGACGTCGGTGGTTTGTTTGTAAGAGGCGTTATCAGTGACCAGAAAGGAGATTGCAATGAACATGTGTCATGTTTTTAACACAGCACAATCACAAGACAACAATATCAGACTTCCATACTGCTGCACTGACACAGACTGTACTGACTGACAGAAACTCCTTCCTTCCTTCCTTTATTGAGTGGTCCACAAATTGGGCTCTCCCTATAAAGTCAGCGTCCATAATCTGTGGATCCAGTTCTATTATGTATGAATGTAGAGGTTATTTAACTCAAAATGTAGTGGTAGGATGATAATATGTGATGAACTCGAAAGGATTAAAAATGAAACCTAAATCATGGGAAAGGTGAACTGAAAATATATACCTATACTCCAAATTGTACTGAAGGACCCATATTTAAATTATCCATCTTCTTTTTGAAATTATAAAACCAGAAGTATATACTGAAAAAAACAGCCGAGTGCTTATTATTTGTGTTCCTTATTCATCAGTTGCCAGGTTCAAATCTTGGTCCTGAGACAGGCTATTGTGACTGATTTATTTCATGGTTTTCTTCAGTCCACTTTAATATTTTTCCAATCCATGATTCATTAACCCTTTAAAATCAAGTTTTAACTGTATGTACCAACTGCTTTAATAGTCATTGTCTCTGCGTTTTGTACTTATGGGCTTAATATGGGTCTCACTACAAATATAAAATATTTACTTGCATAGTGTTAACCGGTTTATATTTGTAATGGAGATATGTTGTGTTTTCTTTGAGATACACACTGAGTTATTAAATGTTATTTAGATGTTTTTTGGTTTCAAAGGGTTAACAGTTTTTTTATCTGATACTGCATAGTGTGCACTACTGACTACCCTTAAATAAACAACAGATATATTTTAGATAACAAAGGATTACAATATTAGAATAGAATTAAACAAAATGTGCTCTTATTACTTTCACATTTTTAAAATATTAAAGACACTGTCACATATAGTACAATCTGACTATTCATCTTTGTTCTTACCTCAGCTTTGAGTGTGCTGTAAAGGGACTGTACATCATCTGGATCTTGATATGTAGTACCAGTCTTTTCAGCTAACACTTGATACAACTCTGTGGCATTGTAAGCAGCTAGAATATTACGCACTTCTGTACTGGCTTTCACGTTGTTCCTTTCGTACTGATATTTTGGACATGGCACTCTTACCAACAGCAGCTAGTGTGCAAAAGAACATATTCAGTTATCAGGACTTATTTCATTTGCTTTTATAATTTTTTTTAGCTTCAGCAGTGTCACATTTTATTAGTACATTTAAATGCCATATTCTATTTCCATAAGTTTAAAACTGTGGGTAATTAAAAAATTTCTTTTGTGGGAAAAAAGGGGGGGGCTTTAGATTTGAGTCTAGCTACTTAGAATGATACAGTTATATTTATATCTTTCAATAATCAGACATAATCATGGTGTATGTTTGAAAATGCATCCACACTGTTGCTCGAGATTAAGCAGCAAAATGTTCATTACTTGCTGAACAGACTCAGTCAGTGCTGGGACTACTTTCTCTTGCACATGTAGAAGTGTTTCAAAGTTGTATTTCCTCACATACAAAAAATACTCAGCATTTTAACATTTCAAAAATTGAGCTATTACGCACAAAAATGTTTTCAAATATATTTTTATTACTCAATTTAATCTATTATATGCCTATGTGTAATTGTTTATATAATTACTTCTAACTCCTGTTTATTGAATGCTACTAGCATGGTAAAAACATAAGTCTTTAAACTTATGTTTATAAATAAGTAGATATTAGCCTTTACTGTGTTATGTTACATCTGATTTCATATATCTCTATTTCAAACATTCGAGGGAGATCACTGATATAGCAAACATACTTACTGAATCTCTTTCAAGAGGTTCACTGTGCAAGGGAATAGGTTGCCAGAGAAGGTCAGGATTCCATTGCTGTGAAGGTGCAGGAGGCCAAAGTCCTGCAAGTTCCAGCTGTGCAGACATCTTTGTTCTATCTACATCAGTAGACTGGGCTACAATTATTTCAGGAGAGTATAGAGCTCCAAGGAACTTATTATATCGAGCTCTGAGATACTGACCTTGGTGATACTGAGCAAGTTTCCCACTCTGAAAAGTGAAGTTGATGTATTGATGCTTATGTATTACAAAAAATCAGTTGAATTAGGGTTTCAAAGAGGAGGAGGAAAGAATATTTATGAATCTGGTCCCTTTATTTCATTATTGTTGCAAGATACAACAGTATTTTGTCAGAGATGTTCAGCACCATCAGAAAATGGCAATAAAAAGCCTTGAGGTCATGTCTATAATTTAATTTTGCAAAAGGGGGAGTTCAACTGAACAAAGAATAAAGATTAAATTGCTATGATTCACAAAACAACTACAGTTCAATTTGGTTTTACATTGCAAGATTTGTATTTTCTTGAATACCAATATATGAAAAGAAGTTTATTTTCTGTTTTACCAGATATTTTGGAGGACTGGGAACGAAGCCAACAAAATATAACACTTCAGAAATATAATCTTCTACATGCTAACTAAACTAAACTGAATTAAACCGACTAGCTCTCCTGCAGTAGATCCCAGAAGTTCAACACCAAAGTACATGGCCCTGAGCCAGTTTCATTGATTACTCTTCCTAACAACCAACATGGGGTCCGCAGTGGCCGCGCGGTCCGAGGCGTGGGCCTTGTGCCGCTTGGTCATTGGGACCGTGGGTTCGTATCCCACCCAAGCCATGGATGTTTGTCCGCGTTTTTCTGTGTTGTGCTGTCCTGTGTACAGGTAGGGGCCTTGCGACGGGCCGATCCCTCGTCCAAGGAGTCCTACCGAATGTCTATCGACGAAGCCAACGATAAAGTTGGGACCCGCAGTGCTCAGGCACTTGAAGAGCGGGTCGTTCCCAGTATCCCCAGTAACAACCAACATTCCTTATATCCATCTTAACGCTAATCCCATTCTCTTTCTCTGTCTTCCAAGTAACCACTTTTCAAGCAGTTTGTCCCTCTAGTCATTCTTAATGTCTAGATTTCACTACTCTGTAGCACAATAGGTTTTGCCTCATGACGGATACAGATTACAGTCTCCGAAACATTGTTTTCAGTTAAATTAGGATGATGGATAATGTCAAAAAAATTTTAACTCAAGTTTCATATTTCGTGTTCTCAGCAGATTCAAGAGAAAACCTAAACAGTTTCTTCCCAAACTTCATGACAAAAAATAAAGTGACAAACAAACTTACGTTGGTAAGTTGGCCCCAGCCAACAGGTTCAAAGGTGTAGTTAATGTATGGATCCGTGGGGTAAGTGTCCGCCGGAGTCCGCTGTCCGTGGCGAAATAACTACAACAGAAATATGTAAATGAAAGAAGGCGGAAAATGAATGTTTCTGGGTGTAAGCACCCCCTGTATCACTGGATTTCCACCTACCTACCCACTACTCATCTCATCAATTATGTCATAATGTTATAAATAAATATATTGAATAAACTGTAGCCTGTTTCACACTCCTTCTGTTTAATCCTACTTTGTTTCTGTGCTCTGTAAAAGATTCGTAAGTTCAATATAAAAATCAGTGCCGATGAGGAAAGCAATATTACAGATTACACGGATTTACAGTAGTTCACTCAGTCTTGATAATTAAGCAACTGTTTGTTTCTATCGGGACTATCTCATGGTCGAATCCCCCATTCTGGAGAACTATGGCAAAGCGATGGGTGGGCAACGCGAATATCCATGCCCAGGACGGTATTCGAAAACCTCTACCGAAGTTTTCTCCCGTCTTACACATCTTAGTGACGCTGGAATCTGCATACTTAAAGCAAAACACGTTTCTAGTAATGAAGAGACAAAGAGAGACGAAACTTTTGTTCATATGTTGCCTTGTTAATCAGATGCAGTCTACGTCCTATTACGTTGCTTTGAGGATGCATTCTTCGCCGAAGGGCATGTGGCAATGCATGTTGCTGAGGTGGTCGTGTTTGTTCGTTTGTCCATATTTCATCTACGAAAGTACTCTTTGGATTTCTGTGGAAATTACTAATGCATTTGTAAGCCAAAGACATTCGAACGAGGCAGTCGTAAATTTCACTTTGTTTAATGATGCTGTATTGACTGCAAAGGTTATAATGGTGATTCAGTATTGCCTTTAGTAACTCTGGGGTACGTTATGTGACCATAAAAGTTAAGAATACAAGATGATACTGTTATTCTTCCAACTTTACGGAGATGCATACTGTCTCCATCGTTAAGACTGAAGTCTCGTCACCGACCAACACGTGTACACGGCGCCGAAACGCTCATTGCCGTGATAACCTCAGATCGCACATGTAAAATTGAAAGTACATGTTGGTCCAGAAACGTCTCTAGTTTGATATAGTTTTGACTTGGCTAGATTTGACTTGTAGTTTATACATAGCACGTGCTGAGAGATTCCCTATTGGAAATTTCTCGGTTAGTATGTCACTTTTCAGTGCCTACTCTGATGAGCTATAGTTTGTTATGATTTCGGATACTAGAAGGTTACTGAACTACGGGACAGGAAATTTATATGATCCAAGATGTACCTCAGTTTAGACAAGAAGGTGAAGGAGAGTATTTCCACGCAACAGCCAGAAAAATGAACTACACCAACGAGGAATATGCAGACATGCATCTTGTCCTTGGCGAAAGTTTCTTCAACTTCTGGACACCTAGTCTTCATTTTGAACACCGGCTGTGAATCGTATATTTGTTTTTGTTTACCTATTTTTTAGTTAAATAAAGAAAGTGTGTTTTTCATCCATCACATTGGCTAATACTTGTTCTCAAGACGTCAAAGCAGGCGTAACAGTGGTAATGGTACGACTTGGGAACGGAGTTACGATGCTGCAGTAGTAATTACTTGCAGTACTTAACAGTAATTCAATTTTCGATTCATATTAATGTACAACGACGATGTTATGCCTGCATCACTTTCGTGGCATGCTTGAAGAATCCCTAGCAACCGCTGTTAAAGTGCTAGTCTTTAGCTACGTGTGTGTGGAAGACAGCTACATCAAGGCTGGACATGATGATGGCTGTCTCTCGGGTTGTAGCGCTTTTGGAAAGCAATATTATTAATCTTTATATAATTTGACAAGAAATACTATGTTTACAAATGGTGAATTGGCAAGGATGAATTTGTGGCGTATTTTAAAGGCAACATATAAGAATATGTCTGGGAGATAACAAGTGAAATATTCATTTGTGGCTGAGATTCTGACCTACATGATAACCGCGACGTTAAGTTCATCTTCAGCGTACGTCGTCATTCGTCAATTTACAAAACCATGACAGTGAACCTCGTAACACTAACGCTTTGACAGATCCAAATAGGTTATCATAATATATATCGTTTCCATGATCCATACTGTAAGTTGCTTTGAATTGATTCGTGTTCCGTTGTTACATGTATACACTTTCACTATTACGGTGATATTTAAAGTACTATGCGATACACCGTAGGAACAATGAACAACTGAATTTACCCAATTCTTCACGTGAATACTGAGGATTCCTTGATTTATAATTATTTTTACAGTAATCGTTCAACAGGACATATTTAAATAAGGCCCGATGAGGTACTGTAGTAGTTAGGCAGGTTTGTTTTCGGTAGATACTCTGTATGAATCTCGGTCTCTTATCGGCTATTTTAACTGAGATATTTTGTGGCCTACTCCAGTAAGTAAAGACCAATGCCGTCTCCTTAAAAATCCATAGTTGTTTATAACTATTTTATCATCTCATTCGACGTTATTTACTATAACACTTGCAGATTAAAGAGCGTCATTACGTGATCTAAAAATCAGTAAATTAACTAATTTAACGGTGTATGTATGCGTAGTTATCCAGCTCATCTAGAACTTCTGTGTTACTGAACCCGAAGTTTAAGCATCGTCATCACAAAAGCCAGCCATTAGACACTCGTCATTCGCTAAGTCCGCCCGTCACTGTTTTGGAGTATTTGGTACTTTTAAAGCAACACATGACTGCCAAAGCAAATCTGACGATGTTAGCAATGCAAGTGGGAGTATTAAAGCTGCGAAAATATACATACTTTAATAAAATAGGACTTAGAATTACAATATAAAGTTTTGAATTCAACGCAAATTTTCTTTTATCTGCCATAGTTTACTGTGCAAACCTTAATGAGTTCCTCACTTTAGTATAGTAATGTGTGCCTGTCCGTTAAAACAGCATACGAATTAAACGCGAATAAACCCGTCATTTCCCTGTTTGACCGAGTTTATTTTACGGAGCAATGATTTTGGAGGAACTGCGAAACGGAAATGAGGGTTATTCCAAACTAGGTTTGAGAAAAATCAGGCCTGCCGCAATGTTGAGTTGCTGCTTGTAACAATGCCCTTTATTAATTACTAAACCAACCCCCTCCGAGTGGGGGGGGGGGGTTGGTCAAGTTTTTAAAACGCAACCAACCCCCCTTCGGGGGAGTTGGTTGCGTTTTAAAATCTTTAATGTCTTACTCAAGTCATTTGTTTACTCGGCATTGTTGTGTTTGGTACAACAATGCCGAGTAAACAAATAGAACGTAACATTGTTTGGTGACGTCATTGTTTGACTACGACGACAAATCACAAATTTTTATAGTAGATTACCTCCCCATACACACATACTACGGGAAAAATGAAAATGTAGCAATTAAACATAAAAGATGCAAAGAGATAGGTCAACAAGTGCATCCAGAGTCCGAAGATGGCTGTCTTCCGGGTTATAGTGCCGTGTAGTCTCGTGGTAGTTTACCAAAGCCTTGAAAATACCAGTCAGTATTCAGGTTATTATACATTAATTAATTACTAACATTGTTACCCTTATTGATATAATTACATATTATGTTCGACAGGTGGAATTAATAATTTTGAAACCCAAAACTGTTGTCATTAGGCTGTTGTACACACGTCCCCACATGGACACCTATTACTCATTCGTGCTCAGAGTCGACTAGAGCTGCAATGCCATTTCGGATATTATGACAACTGTACACTTTTAGCATTGTCCTTGTTGACTACTTTGTTTAAAAATATTAAGATAGACTTACTACATGAACAAGCTGAAGTTCTGTTTCCGTCTCTGAAAATGGCGATGCAAATAGTAAGTATATTTGTTGAAACATTGTAAGCAACGACCATACTTCTCTGAAGATCATCTTGAAAGCACTGAGCCCTACTGTGACAGTACGAAAGCTAGTCGGCAATATTATTTTTGCCATAACTCCTCCCATGAGTTGCATAATAAGATGGCAGAAGTAAGAGCGTCCTTCAGCACTTTTAAGGAGAGGTCATTAGATTAGGGTTGGAAATTTCAATAAAAATGGGACCAGTGGAAATTATACGGAAAATAGTGGCACCTGTTTCGCTCTTGTATCCATAGGGCCTCAGTTTCTGGAATATAGGCTTTGAAAGATTCGTTTTTAATTGTCTGTCACATGTTTTGTTTTGTTACGTAAAGTGTGGAACGGTAAGGACATTATATAACAAGGAACTTCATGGTATATACAGCTAACTAAGTACAGGTGGCAAACTCACGAAACTGTCGTGAACCAGAGATGTAATC